GTCTATTTTGGATGTTAACCCCTGATCAGATACACGATTTGCAAGTGTCTTCTCCCATTCAGTTGGTTTCCTTTTCATTGTGTTGACGTTCCCTTTGCTGTGCAGAAGGTTTTTAGTTTGATGTGGTCCCACTTGTCTATTCTTGCTTTTGTTCCCTTTGCTTTTGGTGTCACCTGCAAAAAGTTACCACCAACACTGATGTCACAGAGCTTACTGCTTTCTGTTGTTCTTCTTGGAATTTTATGATTTCAGGTCTTTTATATTTTTAATCCATGTTAATTTTTGCATGTAAGATGGCAGTTTTGTGGTATGATATAAGACAGTTTTATTATTTTAAACATCTGTCCAGTTTTACTAGCACCATTTCTTTAAGAGACTGTCCTTTACCCATTGTATATTCTTGGCTCCTTTATTGTAAATTGACCATTTATTTAGGCATGGGTAAATTTCTGGGCTGTCTATCCTGTTCTCTCTAATGTGTCTATATTTATTCCAATGTCATACTGTTTTGATAACTATTACTTTGTAATACAGTTTGCAATCAGGGAGCATGATGCCTCCAGCTTTCTTCTTCTTTCTCAAGATTGCTTTGGCTATTTGTGGTCTTTGTGGCCCAGACAAATTTTAGGATTGTTTCATTTCTGTGAATAATGCTATTGGAATTTTGACAGAGATTGCATTGACTCTGTAGATTGCTTTGGCTAGTGTGGACAGTTTAACAGTATTAACTGTTCCAATCCATGAACCTCTAATATCTTTCCATTTACTTGTGTCTTCAAGTTACTTTATCCATGTCTTACAGTTTTCAGAGTACAGGTCTTTAGCCTACTTGGTTAAGTTTAATCCTAGCTATTTTATTATTTTTGATGCAGTTTCAAAGGGGACTGTTTTCTTAGTTTCTCTTAAATTTTTGTATATTGATTTTGTATCCCTCAGCTTCACTGTATTATTTTGAATAGTTTTTTGATGGAGTCTTTAGGGTTTTCTATATATAAAGCCATGTCACCTGCAAATAGTGACCATTTAACTTACTCCATTCCACTTTGGATGGCTTTTAATTTTTCTTGCTTATTTTCTCTGGCTGGGACTCCCAATACCGTGCTGCGTGTGAGTGTCAAGAGCGGGCATCCTTGTCTTGCTACTGACCTTAAAGGGATACAGCTTTCAGTTCTTCACCATTGAGTACGGTGTTATCTGTGGGTTTGCCAAATATGGACTTCATTATGTTGAGGTATGTTCCCACTACACTCACTTTGTTGAGAGGGTTTTTTTAATCATAAATGGGTGTTTTTGTCAAATGCTTTTTCTACATCTTTTGAGATGATCATGTAATTTTTATCCTTTTTGTTAAAGTTATGTATCACACTGATTGATTTGCAG